AGCCCTAACGGATCAAACTTCAGTCAAGCAAGACCCAACACTTTTATTCCTGATTTAAACTAGTGATCTTGAGAGCAGCTGCAGCTGTCTGCTTTTATTTTTTTTATGTCAGGCTGTCGGAGCGCTCCTCCTCCTCTGTCCGAGGCTGGTGTGGTGTGAGGCGGACAGCTCAGCCGAGGCTGTCACGTTCTCTCGTCCTGGCCACACCTCCGCTCTCTAACCCCCCACCCACTTTGATGCATTTTTCAAATTTCGCCTTGGGTCGGAGTTATCTTTTCACAGTGGGGTAAGATACACTTTAACCTATGACGTCTTTTCGTAACTAAGACATTTCATCTGGTAGTTACAAGATCCTAATCTCTTAATGACAAGATAAGGTGTCAATTGTTTTTTCTTTAGTGAATGCAATTCTCTTCCATACAAACAAGGTAAAGAAAATAAATAGAAAAATAAAATTCAAGTTTCGGAGCAGAACAGTTCACGAAACAGAACATGAAATGATAAAACCAAAGTGCAACTTTGCCTTTTTTAAGTGCATGTAARAGAAATAGTAAATGTTAATGCTAAAGAATGGTGCAGAAACCCACGCCAGCTGCTGCAGATGTTTTTATCCTGAGCTTCCTGACAAAAACTGCACGCAGGGTTTAATCAGTTTTCTGCAGCCAAGCCGGTGTATCTTTTGAGAAACTTCACATCAAAGCCTTCCAAAATAATTACAAAACTGTGGGGATTAGCTGAATCTAGGCTCAGAGTGTTGGAGCTGAAGTACTGATGCACACAAACAGGAAGTCAGGACGACATGATTTCTTCAGGACAATAAAATGTCAAACGTGCAAGGAGACTGGTTTTATGTTAAAAGTTCATACTGGGATCGAATGAAAAATTTTACACGTCTTTAAAAAAACACAATGGTTTTGTTTCAAAACATGTCTGCCCTCTGACAGAGGCTTTGTGTTCAACAAACATAAGAGGATAACGCTCAACATGGAGGTAAGAAAAATTCAAAAGCAACACATCGTAAGACATTTGTGAGACGTTCGTCTCGTTTTAACTGCTCGGAGAAAACAAAGCACAAATAAAAAAGTGGGAAAATTGAAATTCTTTGAACAGAAATGTAAAAATAGTATCAGTGCACCTTAAAATTTTAAAAACGAGTCAAATATTCAGAAATGGAGAAAAAAACGTGAAATTCAATATACAATATTTAAAACATTTTCACAATTATAATTGACAAAAAACATCAATTAGATGAAAAACCATGTCCTATTTTCTTAGAAAATCCTCCTTAAATGTAACAAACCAAACAAATAATTAAGAAAAAATAAAGACATAAAATAAGACACATTGGATTTATAATTTCTTGCCATTTTGTCACTGATTGAAAAATTTTATTTTTAACATCCTTCATTTTTGTTGCATTATAAACATCTCATGTGGTCTGACAGCTCTGATCATCACTGGTCAGGTAGTTGCTGTAAAACCTGGTGCAACTTTCCACATCCTTCAATTTGTTTGACATTTAGATGATTTCCTCTCCTTGGGCTGCTACCTTATCGTGGTGGAGGGGTTTGAGTGTCCCAATGATCCTAGGAGCTATGCTGTCTGGGGCTTTATGCCCCTGGTAGGGTCACCCATGGCAGACAGGTCCTAGGTGAGGAACCAGACAA